TCATCGATATCGCCTCCCACACGACCTTCCAGTCCGAGAGCATAAGTGGGATCGTTCATTGCAATGTGTGATCGGCCGAGGCCGCAAAAAGCAGATTCGGGTGTGTCTCTCCTCGGCAAGGTAAATATCTAGGACGCTGATATATACAAGATCGGAGGTGTTTGTGACGGTAGGTATTTCGAGATAGTCGGAGGTAAACGAGTGACAGAGGGCGCCGTTGGTGGGGTGTAACGGGAGGCCCAGCGCAGGAGTATGATGGCAATCAAATCGCCGTTTCCCCTGCCTTGATAACCCACTCGAGCCGTGGAATGAAGCCTGGTGTAGCGATGCGATGCCGTTGATCTCGTGTAAGAGAGGGAGGCTAAGGAGCGCCGGAGGGAAGACAAGGAGATGAGGCCAGGTCGGATGGAGAAAAGAAAAAGGAAAAAGATGCTAGGGAAAGAATACAACACCGATAGGTCCAGGTCGTAAAGGTTGAGGCGGCCTCTGTAAGGGTTGAAGGGGATGGGGATGGTTAAGAAGGAGCCGGGGTCAAGGGATCAGAATTGATGGGATGAATGCAAACTATCCGGGATGACGTGGTACCTCGAAGAACATCGGCGGCTGGACTGAAGCGGCCGGGATTCTTTGTATCTCTTTGTCTTGCCAAGTACCGTAGATAGAAAGACAATAGCGCTCCGTTCAGGTGATAGAGTGCTGTGGCACTTGCTGAGAATTGGCCAAAAAAAATTCAAACGGGGAACGCTGAACCGCCGTTACAAGCCAACGGTCCCCACCAGATCCCCACCGCATCACCAATAGCGCCGGTTGATTGGGCATCGGATGGCCCCGTGCGAGGTGAAAACCACTGGAACAGGGAACAGCTATTTTTGAGACGCCCATGCTAGCCCCATATGTCCCCTGTGGCCCTGCTTCAATACGAGCTGGTGTGCTTACTCCAGTATGCGTCTGATTAGGTCTTCTGTAAGGGGGTGGCTTCACGGCATGTAGGTCAGTACCTATCTACCAAGGTCATGCCGTTATGTCATGCTCCACGGCTCTGGTCCAGCGCCCAGCCTTGCTAGCATGGTAGGGCTCTTGGAGATCAGAAATACGAGGCCAGAGGATGATCTCTTCTGCGTCCCTGGCTTCTTCGTGGGAATGCCGGCCCACTAGCAGTGGATGAGACATACCAGCCCGGAGGATGTCTACGTCAAACCTTGTGGACACTTTGCGTACTCTTCCTCCGAGCCGTTCAATCAGAGCAACACTCGGCGTTTGAGGCGCATAATCCATTGGGTGTGAATATGCGCTCAAAAGGGACAAGCCCAGGGGCTGAACATGCGTGGCGCTCGCACAAAGTCTAAGGTAAGGTACGTACATGACCGCGCAGTGCATTTGTCGGCGCTGTTGGCTGGGAGTTTCAGCGCATCATCGCTACCCAGATGGTGCGTTGAGCCCACGCAGTGTCGTAGAGACATGGGTCCACGACCATCTTACACATCAGTAAGCATTGGCCCATGACGTGTAATGCGAAGCATAGCATCCCATCATCAATCCGTTGTCGCGAGTTGCCGAATCGAATCTGGTGTCCAACCGGAAGGAAAGCACTCGCAGGCATGCATGGATTAAGCCTAGACCTGGAAATCAATCCTGTCGCTTGGGAGGCTTCCAGCCAGCCATTTCCTGGCTACCGAGACCTATCAGTCCAAGTAGCCAAAGTCAAAACTTTGATGTGGCCAAGTCAAACGAAGGGAGCCAGAGTCGCGCTGGCTCGCATCGGCCCCTCTTCCCCTGTTTCTGTGTGGTGGGGAAGGGAGGCAATTTTCAGATCTCGCAGCAAGTCCCAGGTTGAGCCATGATGACACTCTTGAGGACCAAGGGGCAGCGCAGCCCCAGAATCTAGAGCCTGGTCGTCCCATCTGGCCATCCGAGGCCGAACAGCAATGGCCGCTAATCTCGCACATGACCAATTGTTGAATAGATCTGTGTGTTCAGCAGCAGATACTTAGTGCCGCTTAGATTCGAGACACCACTGGAAGATTGTTCTAGCTCCTCATCCCGTTCCAGATTTGCAAAAAGAAAGTTCACGCCGGTGTGTGAGAGGTACTTGCTATGCAACACTATGTCTCCGTCCACATTACACAACCCTAAGCGGGCACCCCAGCAAGCTCTTCCGGCTGTGCCTGAAGTGTTGGTCGCATCAGTGAGACTACTCATCCCGATCCCCGAAGATACTATCTCTGAATGAATCTGAAATATTCACTCGTCCATTGAGTGAAGTATAGCGATAAGCACCCCAGCACAGTTCGGATCATCAACCAGGGGTGTGTGCCGACAGATGTCGTCAGCATGGAACCAAAACCACGGTATTGTACCAAAGGCGCGAACTATGTACTGTAGTACCTTACAGATGCAGTTGCACAGCCTCATAGATCGCAACGCCGCCACATGTTACTCTATTGACATCTGCTAGCCGGCGCATTTGCTGACGTAGCGGAAGAAGCGATTCGCTTACACCTTGGTCTGGCAAGCGACTGACATAGGTTGAACATGGCATACCTAGAACTTCTAACGTTGAAATTCAACACAATATCAAAACAATCAACCTAGTAATAAATACAATGCTAAGCTAAATATTTTAAAATGATTTAGTATTTTCTTTGTGTTAATGAAAAGATTAGGTCCCTACCTTACGTAGAAAGCCCAGGGTTCAATTGTGCCATGTTTTACTTTCACCCACTTATATAGATATCAATCCCCAAATCGCCACAATGGTCAATAGTGATGATGATTCTTATCCACGATATGTGATGAGAAAGGTACTTCGAGTACATCAATTCAATCAAGATTTCATAGGTAGAAACCAAGGCAATTCGATACACATTCACTCTCACTGGTTGTATTCTCCAGAAATCGTTTGAGAGCACTTAGACACAAACTCCAGCCTGAAGATCCATAAACAACGTTGACGGAACACTAGATACAAGTCCATGGCCGTACTCGCTTTTCCTTCTCCCAAGGCATGTATGTTGTTAAATTGTTACTCGATGGGGCCTTGACTGCGCGTCTTGCGCTGTGTCTTGCCAACGGGCGGAGGTGCACTCTTATCCTTCTTTGGCCTACCAGGCTTTTTCTTTCCGTTGGTCTGAAGCTTGGATTCGACCTTCTCCTTGATATCATCCACTGCGTCGGCGATCCTATCCGTCACCTTGGCCTTCTTCTCGGGCCTCTCCTCATTGTGTTCTACGGATTCATTGGCCTGTTTCTCAGGCTCGTCCTTGGTCGCAGGCTTCGTCTCTTCCTCAACTTTGCGCTTCTCACCCACAGGCGTTGAGTCGCCCATGTCTGTTGCGCCAGCCGTTGGCTTTGATGATAAATGATCCGGGCCGCCTACATCCGAGACTGGTTCTGGAGCCGACGGTTTCTTCTCGGTATTGGGCCCAAGAATTACGGGCGCTTCCTTCGGGGTTTCCTTTTGCTCAGACTCATCCTCTGTGATCTTGAGCTCAGGCCGGGGTGTTCCTCCGACGGGAGTCTGGCCTCCATTGACAGGCGTCTCTGGAACAGATGTCACCTCGACAGGCTTTGGGGCCACGCCGAGATGACTTGGTCCATCCGACAGGTGATTCTGCTGGGCCATCTTCGTAGTCACGGCAGCCACGAAATGAGGCGGTTTTCCATTCAGGCCTGCGGCGGAGGACTCGGGGCCAACTACAAGGCAGTTAGTGGTTGGGAGGACATCTTAATCTCAGTACTTGTACCGCGCCTTGAACATTCTACAGTACCAACCCAAGCACCTCGCAAAATCACAAACGACCGGCATGAGGGCGCAACACTTGCCTTTGTCAAAGGATGGGGCGACTTCGGTCATGATGCTACTGTAGGCGTGATGACGTAAGACCTGGGGTAGCGACTGGAGCACTTGCGCCTGTGCATGCAGCTGGGGCTCCTAGCGATGTGATAGAGACTGGTAACGCGCAGGGAGGTAGATCGGCTCAGAATCGTGAGGGATGGGCAATGGCAGAGCCCTGGAATTGTACAGTTTGGAGAGAGGAACTGGAGTAGGTTGGGAGAGGAGAGGTAAGGTGGGTGAGCATCAAAATGAGCATTGGACTCAGATCTGGACCCAGACCGGGGAAGTTGGGGGGGGGGGCACCAGTTCCACAGACCAGCACTCATGGTCCTTCGGATAAACAGTTACATCTACCACTACGTAGTGGCTGAGGGAGAGGAGGTGACACTGGGTTTCTGCTACTTCGAGTTTACCGCTCGCAGCGAACGCCACAGAAGCCATAACAGGACCCATCAGCCCGAGGATCGGAAACAAGGCATCGTAGGATTGTAGGGCGATGATGAAGGTTTTACCCCATCTTTCCCTTCTAGATCCGGGCAAGAAAGCTGGTCACCTCACCTCGCCATATCAATTCTAATTGGTTCCTGCCATAGGCGACAGTCACCGAACACAAAACACCTGCTAATGATTCGCTGTCTGGTAGACCTTCTGCGATCGATCGAGACGCTGGTGTGATGTGGGGAAGATGTACCTTATTAATCTAGCACATCATCAGATGCGCCCCGCCAAAGTATGTATGCCGCATTGGCCGCTTACAAAAGGAAGACCGAGGACGCGGGGAGACCGAAACGAAGTGAGTAGCACACAATCGAGGCCCTGGGGGCATTCAGCACCCGACAAGTATGTGCAAGCTCGTGATCGCCACGATGCCGTATGAGTTCTCAGGATCTACCACGCTGATTCATCGCATGATGGCAGAAAGCTGGCATTGGCTGAGGGAAGGTGGGAAGCTGTCGGTGTTATCGATAAGAGTCGCCTTCGCGAAAGCACGTGACGCCTGAGTAAATTGGGGTGCATCCAGACAAGTGTCAGGGACTAGCTGCAACGAGCTCGAAGCCAGGGGGAACGTGTCTGTCAGTAAAACGAGCGGCTACATTTCGACACATTTAATAGCCAACTATCATACACTCATTTGACCTACCACGCCTTCCCAAACTTTGCAAAGATGGCTCCCGCAAAGGCTACCTCCAAGGATAAATATTCCGTCATTCTGCCCACCTACAATGAGCGACGCAATCTCCCCATCGTGGCCTGGTTGCTGAACCGTACGTTCACAGAGCAGTAAGTCAAAGCTCAACTTGAACCCTGAGTTCACGTCCTCAAGTCTCCCGGAAATAATGATTTGACCTGAAGCACAGTAAGCTCGATTGGGAACTGATCATTGTCGACGACGGCTCGCCCGACGGCACCCAAGAGGTTGCCAACCAACTCGTCAAGGCATACAGGCCCCACGTTGTCCTCAAGCCTCGTGCTGGCAAGCTCGGTCTCGGTACTGCCTACGTCCACGGTCTCCAGTTCGTGACCGGCAACTTTGTCATTATCATGGACGCCGACTTCAGCCACCACCCCAAGTTCATCCCCCAGATGGTTGCCACCCAAAAGACGGGCAACTTCGATATCGTGACTGGAACCCGCTACGCTGGCAATGGTGGCGTTTACGGATGGGACCTCAAACGCAAATTCGTCAGCCGTGGCGCAAACCTCTTCGCGGATACCGTCCTGCGACCCGGTGTCAGTGACCTGACTGGCAGTTTCCGATTATACAAGAAGAGCGTGTTGGAAAAGGTTATCTCCAGCACCGAGAGCAAGGGTTACACCTTCCAGATGGAAATGATGGTGCGGGCCAAGGCTATGGGCTGCTCCGTTGCCGAGGTTCCCATCTCGTTCGTCGATCGAGTCTATGGCGAGAGCAAGCTTGGTGGTGACGAGATCGTCGAGTATGCCAAAGGCGTTCTCAGCCTATGGCTGAAGGTATAAGCATGGACAATGCTACGTACGATGGAGGTTGATGATGACGAATGGGGCGTTTGGGTGACCTATACTATATAATCAGAGAACGCATTGCCCCTTTTTTTGCCAAGGGCTATCTTCATGTCATATTACTTGCATTCACCTATGTCTCCTTATGAATTGACTACGTATACATGTTGTTCTAATACCCTCCCCATTGACCAGGGTCTACATATTCCTTCCACCGGTCACCATAATAGTCTGCCCAGATACGTAAGAGAACAGTGGGCTAGCAACCGCCAGAATGCTGCTGGCCGCCTCCGTGGCACTACCCGGTCGTCGAAGTGGAATATCTGCATATGCCCCGTCTCCAGCAGCCTGCTTCTGCTTGATCGGGATACCCAGCGCAATCTTCTCCCCATCGGGTCCTGTTACGAAAGCACCGTCTTCCTTGGCTGCTGTCAGGCGGGTCAGGATATGTCCAAAGGCAATGGAGTTGGCACGGACGCCAAAAGCTGGCCCCCATTCCTTTGCAATTGTCTTGGTGAAACCGATGACGCCAGCCTTTGCGAGGGCATAGTTTAGCTGCCCAGCGTTCCCGTGCACACCAGATGTAGAGGAAATGTTGATAATGTTGCGAGGCTCACCGTCCTTGACTCGGAAATAGGGCGCGGCCGCACGGACGATATTGAATGGCGCAGTGCAGTGAAGGGCAATGATGTTATCCCACTGCTTGTCGGTCATTTTGTGGATGACGCCGTCCCAAGTGTAACCAGCATTGTTGACAATGATGTGAATCTTCCCATTACCGAAGTCCGCCGCCTTCTTGATAAGAGAGTTTACATAGTCCTGCTTCAGAATATCGCCAGGAACGCCGAGAGCACTTCCGCCCGAAGAGTTGATGCTGTCGGCCACATCTTTGCATTTCTCTGGGATCCGTTAGTATTGCGATGCTATAATTGATCACGCCCAGGGCCAGCCACACGCACTCTCGTCGATGTCCGCAACGACTACCTTGGCGCCCTCCTTGGCGAACAGACGCGCTGCCTCCGCGCCAATACCCTGGCCGCTGCCTGTGATGATGGCGACCTGGCCAGCCAACAGACCACGGGGATAGTTTAGCTGGTTGGCAAGCTGTGACACACGGTCTGACATGGTGAGCAGTGGAATCAAGGTACAGCGCTAGATGAAATGCAAGCAGAGCGTAGCTAATCTGGCAAATAAAGAGTATTGGTCGAGTGTTGACGGACCAGATATAATATGCGACTAACTTGAATGTCCAAATCTATTATTATATATTTACAACACCTTCGACTCGCTTGCAGCCGAGCTAAGAGTGCTCACGCAGTAGCGTAATGCCGAGGTTCCCCGCGGTTGCGGTTCCCCCACAGACAATACCCACGGAGAACGAGGGGGGCCAGCAGCGGAAGTCCCACGGAGCAATTAGCACTACATAGATGGAGGAATATGGTTGCATTAAATGTATCGAATTAGCTTAAACGAATATGGATTTATATGCCATCCAGTCACCATAAAGCCGAGGCTGGACCTTAGCCTTGGCCTCCAGCCTGTATTATGCTATCTACAATTTGAAGTCAGCAGTCGTCTTCTCCCATCCAGATGGAGTCTCGTCGAATGCCGCAACACGTTCCGCTAACTTTGTCTTCATGTTTCTATGCTTTTCTGTGCACAGTTCATAAACCGTCGACAAATTAAATAGTAAGGTATGTGAGGAGAGACCCTTTCCGACAAGGCCCTCAAGAACATCTCGACTCTGTGGAAATTGTTAGATTAGACAGGCCTAATAATAACCTTAGAACGGCATATGCTCACCTCTTGAAGCCTGCCCAAATAGAGCAGGCAAACAGCAGCGTTAACGCCAATCATCTCATCATCGTGTTCAAGTCGGAGACCCTCCCATTTTTCCAATGCTGCTTCGAACTCAGTATCTGCCATGTCGCAAAGAGCCAGAATAATTTTGTTGGTGAGAGCTTGATCCCCAGTGCACTTTTGGGCGCAGGCCCTTGCCCGCTCCGTGTCTCCCAAATGAAGCAAGAGCAAGGCTTTGGAGAATATCAGCTTGCTATCTCCTCTGTCCCGCAGACTGTCAAGGTGACTCGCTGCCCCAGGAAGATCGCCCATTTCAATCAAGGCACCAGCCACCTTGATGCCCAAGTCTGCCAACCGGGACTTCCAAAGCTCGGTCGCAGAGTTGTCGTGGACAGCCGTAGACTTCACTATTCGGGCCCGGGCTTCGCGTGCCAGGTCGTGATAGCTCATGACAGCGCGACGTGTGTCCCCGAATCCAAGTGCTTGGAGCCTCACATTGAGTACACGGAGTTCCCAAGGAACAAGGTGCTCTCCGGTAGTCTCGTCAACGTAGACTCGTACGTTATTTAAATCCTCCAACGCCTTGACTTCCTGAGCCGCAAGAGACGTGGCGTCAATCAATGTGAGACAAGCCAGCCGTGTATATAGTAACCTAAAGATCCTCTGGGAATCATGAGGATCAATTCCCCCAGTCGCGCCAAGTCCAGTCAGCTCCTGGACTGCTGCAACTGCTGCAGCTCGAAAGTGGCCCTTGGCGAGCAGCTCCTCGAGTGGGATTTCTGGACCGGGCTGCTTGGGTGAATTCCTGAATGCCGCAGGTATATTCAATGGTGTGATTGGATGGTATATCTCAGGGCGCAACAAGAAAGAAAAATCCTTGGCTTTGGGCTCCCCAAGCTGGGGCACGGGAGATCCTGGGGCACTGCGGCCCCGCGAAGGTTGAGGAGATCGAGGGCTCAGCATAGATTGGTGAGCTCGCTGAGTAGCTGGACCAGGCTGAGAAGGACTAAGGGTAGACGCCAAGGGATCACTTTCGATGATGAGTTAGAAGTAATACAGAGTCTGGGGGCAACCGGCGCTCACTCTGCGGCTTCGAGGGGTCCTGTCATGGAGGACCTTGGCTTTGCTGGAGAGTCATCAGCCTCATACTTTTCATACGGGCAAACCACCACTTCCACGGTGCATCAATTCCACCAAGCATACACTATAGGTTTTAATGACGACGACTTCGCTTTGGTGATGAGGTATACCATGTAGCGAGCGAAGCCAATTATATGAATTGAGGAACGGTTCATTCAAGAGTCAACATACCTACGGACCTGCTCCTCGAATGCCCCAGGGCTGGGGACCTCTGTGGATCACCCATGTCTTTCCAATTCTCAGCGGAGATCGAGGAGTTGAAATTGTTTCTGCTTATCAAGAGATCCAAGGTTGAAGTCCCACAGATGACAATGAATGATGGTTGTCCCCAGAAGTGGTGCTGACCCCAAATGAACTAGATGTAGGTATCGCTTATCTAATCTACAATGCATCATGACTTGCATACGGCTTCCTTCATGATCGCCAACATTCACTCGCATCGTCTGAATAAATACAGAAAAGAGGTTTAGGATACCATCTAGGCACTTGATTCATGAACCCTTTTTGTAGCTGGTCGTACAGAACGGAACTAACACCTCTCGGTCTCTGATGCTTTTCGCCTCTAGGGTATCTACTATCACTTTACTAAGCTGTCATCCACCACTGAATGCCTGAGTTTAGGTTCATTGTGCTTCATGGGGCAATAGGAATATTCCGGTAAAAATAATACGCGGTGTAGTCTCCCCGGTAGTTAATAGTATTTAGCTATTCAATTATCCCTTGTGCCGCCTCAACATATGTGTAGGTGCACTAACAACGAGCTGGTGTGCTTGCACATGTTTCTGTTAAGGCTGCCCCACCTCGTCAAACCTCACAAATTGGCACCAAACACGAAAGCTTCGCAAGAAACCTGGGTTTAGACTAAGATCGTTGGGACAGCGCCATGCGTACCAGGAAGTCAAATCGCAATAAGCGATACACAGTTGAGAAGTATGATTTCGAGGATTCCGAAGACGAGCAAGCGACCCCGTCCAGTCGCGTCCAGAAGGCTGACCAACGGAATGATGATGAATTTGATGTAACCGCAGAACCTGAAGAGCAAGATGAGGCAATAGATGCAGAGTCATCCCACTCAGATACCACAGCAAGTGAGGGTGATGCTCCAAAGGCTCAGCCACGCCAGCGTCCAAGGACAGCAAAACCACCAAAGACTAAAAAGGGTGCTGCATCCGCAACTAATTCAGCAACTGCATATGTCAATATCGAACCGGCTTCCACAGATAGCCCTCTTGGAAAAGGATACTCTGGATTATTTGATAGGGGCTTCCGGGGCCTGGCTCTCGTTGCTGCATGGTACGGTCCGGAGGAGGAGAGAATACAGAAAGGCCAAGAAGCCTTGAACCGCTGGGTTGAATGGGCGCTACTTCCCCCAAAAGACATTGCAGGCCCTCCAGGATCCGTTTCAGGAACCTTTTGGTCTGAAAGCTCTCAGGATCACGAAAATTCTCCTTGTCAAACCTGGCTTTCGCGTCTCAACTCAGATCAGTCATCTCGTACGGTTTTATCTGGCCTCACCGCAGAGTATTCCAGGCCATATCTGTTGAATGCAGGGACATTGCCAGTTTTATTGGGACCTCATGACGACCAAGTTGAGTTCAGTATTACGGCAGGTGATAGCATTGGGCTCACATCCACTGGTCTCCCTCATAATTCGACCGAGAATGAGGACGAATTCCCTACAGGCTGGATGCTTGATACTGGGGGACTAGTTCTTAACCTGGACTGGGCACAGCAAAGAGATGTAGATGCAGTCCAGCTCTTGGCAATTGCTGTTGTACCTCATCTTGATCAAGAAGTATACACCTACGATGAGGCTACTTCAGGACCAGATTTCCAAATGCAGGGCACAGTGCAGATATGGGCATTCCAAGGCAGGAGGACCAAGAAGGATACCATTGAGCCCTCCAACCAGCGTCCTCGACTTCAAAAGACGCTCTGTCTATACGGTGGCCGGGTGAAGATTGTTCGGTGGAGCCCAACTTGCCGGCATCTGGCTATCCTCTCTGGCGGGACCGTACATGTTGTTGACCCTGGAGAAGACGAGAACGGAGCCTATCGTAGGTCACGCCCCAAATCTGATGCACCGCTCCATTTTCTAACAGCCTTGCAGAAGAAATACAACAACCCATCGCCACGTTAAGCATTACTGAGGAAGATATCAAGGCAACTACCCTAACCTGGGTTACCTTTAACCGACTGGCTATTGGCTACTCAGACGGCTCGATCGCATTGTGGTCTATCTACCCAGCCTGCCTACTATCTCGCCACCCGGTTCATCATAGCCCAGTCATCAACATAGAATCAGGCTACCCATCCCTGCCCTATCTAGTTGCATCTACACCGATAGGCGGCTTCGTGAAAATCGTTGATCTAAGATCTCCAAGCCTTGAAACTAGCGAGGCGGGAGTCCTATCAGTCAACACCATACCCAACCTCCTGGCGTATAGCGACCATCTTCTCGGCTTTTACGCGCTCAGTCCCACCTCCAACGTTCTCAACACTATGGTTGGCTTTATGCACCATGCTCATTTCCCTATAGTTCGAAGAGTCTTTACAAGTGACAGGTTCGTCACTAGTCTTTCTATTGGACGAACCCATCCCCACCTCCTTGTCGGGACGACTGACGGTTCACTATGGGCTATGAACCCGCAGCTTGAACTCTTCCAAGGCAGAAGAGATCTCTCGGACAGGATCCGAGTACTCCAGCATGAGCATCGACCAGCAGAAAACTTCCCACCAGGCTCACCAGCGTCAGAGCGTGGCGTCTCGCGGATCATCCAAGGGTTCAAGCCTGAGAAGAATAGGCATACAAAGCTTGAACCTCCTGGGAAGAAGAAGAAGGGGAAAGGAAAAGGCGCCGAGGAGGACGCTGAAGGGGATGAGGTCACAGGCCACGGCGATCCTTCGCGCGGCATCGTGCATGAGCCATTGACAAGAATTACTGTTGTCAAGTGGAATCCGAACCATGGATACGGTACTTGGGCAGCGGTAGCCATGGCTTCAGGCTTGGTGAAAGTTCTGAATCTTGGGCTGGAAGACATGGAAGAGTGAGCACGAGTGAACAAAACAAACTCTGTGTCTACTTATTCATTACTACCTCAATACTTCTCCTTTCTTGGTCTAATCTATCAAGCATTGGGATCCCATAATTGTATGATGGTAGTCGAACGCCCGAGCCATCCCGTACAGATGAGTTGCGGCAGCCAACACGACGCAGCAGTGGAAGATCTGGTGAGAACTTCCCCAGATATCGAATGCTCCAGGGAAGCTACGTTCAGGCCACCGAGACTAGGTTCGAATCGTTAGTATTCCGCCAAGTCGACGTTGTTCGCGAGGAATAGACCTACCGCATACAAGACGGCGCCAAAGATATAAAGGGCCCCATGGAAAATGACCAAACTAATACTCATCCGGTCTTCGAGAGCTTGGTAGCCATCGATGATGATCCCGTGTACCACCGGAATGACACCGGAGACACCAAGGCCGACAAACATGGAAGCACGGAATACCCGCAGTTCTGGCTTTCGAAACTTGTCAACCCAGGACACAATGCCGCAGCCTATGCCAAGAAGGACGATCTATCATTTTGTCAGAAACTACCACGATGTCTGGTTCGGTGTGAATTCGCCACTTTATCAAAGGCTCCTTTGGGTTGACCTACCAAACATAGATACGGGGTCATCAGCGCAGGCTGACAGAAAAAACCATAGTAGAGGGCCGGTACATAGCTACCGACGATCAAAGCCACAATGCCAGAGTAGTCCAACTTGTTCCCCCAGCGAGCAACCTCCTCGCTATGGCACAAGAGCGCATGGAACGTTGCGCTCATGCCCAGGCACAAGATAGCCCCTCCAAAGAAACAGGCGAAGACAATAATGTCCGACGAGGAGGCTGACTCGTATCGTGGGTGGATGACCTGATAGAGATAGGTACCGCTGCTAATAGCGAGGATCGCCCCAATAAGATGAGACCAGATGTTGACAGACTCATTGTGCAAGTGGAGGAGTGAGAAGAGTGTATGTGAGTAAGAAGGCTTGACCTGCCGATAGCCAGTCACGATGAAGGCGTTGTCGCGGCGCCAGTGTGGGAGTTCATCCCAGCAGAGAAGCAGTTTGGATTCCAACTTCTTGGCGCTCTGGCCGGCGGTGTCGACGATTTGGGAGGCTATCGATTTTGTTGAAACATCGGCACGGCGCAGGCGAGCTTCACCAGCGGGATGGACATCCATCTGTGCGTCTTTCGTGTGATGAGAAATCAAGGTTCCTGAAAACAGATGCAATGCGTCAAATACAAAGCAATTCTAGTGCAAAAGGCGCGAGTGTGGTTCAAACAAGGAGATAGAAAAGCAGATATGTCATTACAGGTGCATGTTCAGTTCAAGATTTATGCCATGTCGGGTGAGCGTTGTAAAGATTCGTCGGCTTGGAGTGCCCGAGAGGATAACAGATCGTCACATATTGTTTCTTGTTTTTTTGTTGGGTACCGGTATGCTAAAAATTAAGGGTCCTTCTAGGCAGTACGGGGGTCAAATCGTCCGACTCGTCCAAAACTTCAGCGAGCAGATGTCCCAAATGCCTTCTTGTTGAGCTGGCGTTCTCCCAGAACAACTGGAAACTAATACTTTCCCTCCCAACTGAAATTGTTGGGTTTCGGGTGCGCGATCATCACAAGCAAACCGAGGCAATGGAGGCTCGTGTCAGCAGGAACCATTTCCATTTGGTGGTGGCCGCCCTCATTCGGCGCAAATCGTCTCACCAGTGAAATTACCGCAATCGCGTCAGCTTGTGCTACACGCCGAATCTACGCACCCATTTACCTTTGCTCCTTCATGAAGGGGCATCTTCCACAACAATACCTTCTCTACTGGCACTGGCGTCATGTCCACTCGAGGCAGGCGGCTATTAAAGGATATTTTGTAGCTAGGCCATATTGGGTGCCCAGTTGATTGTACGCAAATACTAACAAGACCGGCCTTTTCAGGAACAGGACGAATACTAGGATCATGTTGTTTGGGCTCCCCAAGTACCTGCAATATATGGCGAAACCACTATATTCCAGCCTTGCCATTGTAGGGTCCCGTGTTTGCGGTATTGATTGATAGTCATTGTACGTGCTCGTTATTGTCGAATCATTGAAAGAGTGGCTATGCACCGAAGGACTGCGCTGGTGAAAATTGCTTCACACAGCACCAAACGCCAGGCAGGGTATGATCTCTCGTCCGTGCCTCCATCTATTCGTTGCTCATTTCTTTCCGCTCTTCTTGATGCCTTGCGATCCGGTGTTCAGAGGGCCCTTGCCGCCGGCCTTGCTGGCCATGTCCTTGCGAGCCTTCTCCTCTGTGCGCGTAGCGGTCAGCATGGATGAGAAAACATATAACAGATTTGAGGATGCCCATACCAGCGCGCTTCTTCTCCAGGAAGGCCAGGTCGTCCTCGTCGAGTTCCTTGTTGGCCTTCTTGGCCGCCTTCAAAGGCTTCTGCTTGCCACCTGGAAGAGGGGTTAGCGGGTGAATGGTGGGGGTTATGAGGTCTTCGAGAGTATTCTACCTTCGCGATTAGCACCACCCATTGTGATAAAGTTATAGAGATGAAGTTGGATAGACGGATAGCGCTTGAAGCAGAGTTGTCGGCACAAGATGAATAGGAAAAGATGGATCGCGAACGGGGCAATATGTGGGAAGCGAGACCCTTGATTGTCCTTGATAAAGCGGGCGGTGAGACCCGCCGAATCGAGAGTGGCGGAGAAAACTTATCGCTTATGTAATTGGGCTCGCTGCTGCCTCACATCCATCCCCAAAGACAGACTCTGGTTCTATTCCCACACAATAGCATCCATCTCGATGAATGGCGACCTGCAGATATCCAGCATCGCATGTGCTCATTGTTTCAAGTGAATGAATCGCGCCATTCATAATCGCTCAATACTCCTCCTCACGAATCTTTTCTATAACTTCCAACCCCTTGGTCATCTCTCCTCCAGTTATCATCGTCCTCATGACCTGAGCAGTCTGCGCTGATCTGGTTCGGCTCTTTTCCTGCTGCAAATCCCGTTGAAGAACTCTCTGACTGACACTTTCATCCTTGATATAAAGATCCCGCGTGGATCTGGATCCAGCTCCAGCAACCCCAACTTGAAGTATGGCGTCGAGTTCGGACGAAGGCGAGATCGCTGAATCTGGGAATATGAAGGCATCTTCACTGTCGCATACTGGAGAAAAAAACGGTGTTGACCCTAAAGACAGACCACGGAGTAACTCTCCTGATTTCGACAGTGCCTCCAGGTACAGCGCCTCCTCACGCCGCAGTCGCTCCCCGCGAGGCAACAAGCGACCGCGCGATGATCGAGACCACTACGGTGGAGGGCGCGATTTCGGCTCCCGACACTCACGTTCGCATTATGATGATCGCCGAAGGGATGGCTACCACAGGTCGCGTCCTTCGTACGAAGATCTTGACCGTCCATCGTCTCACTCCTCACATTACAGCTACGATCCACGAAACCGAGATGGCGAACGCGCTCGAGATCGCAGCCGTGACCGGGATCGGCAGTATGATAGTCGAAGCCGCCAACAATACTCGGACAAAAGACCTCGTAACCGAAGCCGGTCCCCACGTCGATCCAGGAATGAGGGAGGCAAGGGACGCCTTGATCGCTTCGTGCGAGGGAGTAACGACCATGCGGAGGGGCTGAAATATGAGGATGATCGGGGTTTGGAAATAAGAGGGTCCTCAAAATCGAGGACTACAGTAGGAGGGAATCCACGTTACGGGAAAGATGATGCTAAACACACCAGAGGCCCGGCTCAAGAAAGCAATGCTAGCACGAACGGACCGATAGCTACAACATCTAACACGGATTCCCCAAACCCCCCTGAGCCTGAGGAGGAAGTTGAAGAACCCGAGCCTATCGACGAAGAGCTTGAGATAGAGCGTCGCAGAAAGAGACGCGAAGAGATCTTGGCGAAATCGAGCTCTGCGACTCCTCTTCTCCTTCACGCAGTTGGCGCAAGCGATAAAGCTCACCTAACATCGCCAGCAACCTCTCAGGCCATCAGCCCTCTCAGAACACAATTCGAGCCTGATTCACCTCGGACTCCACGGACTTTGCGCTCTGGTAAGCTGAGCAATAATATCGGGCTTGCTAATTTCGCCCAGCTAACTCGATCGCCAGAATCTCCACGATCCCCTGACACCCCCAATGAGCTATCGCCAGGAGCCATCGACCTACTAAACGATAAAAAATTTGTGGACTTGGGTGCCAATAAGGGAGCTGATGAAGAAGAAGGACCTTCTGCCGCAGATTATGATCCGACCGCCGATATGAAAGAGGACGAGCGTCGAGATGAGCTGCGGCATGGTCAAGTAGTTGTCCACGGCGAATCGCACATGGTAGGGACGAGGGAGAAACCAGAGGCAGCACCCCATAAGGAAGCTCCCAATCCATCTTCTGAGGATCCAGACGATGATCTTGACATGTTTGCCGAAGATTTTGACGAAGAGAAATATACCACTCAGCCGACACAAACTACCTCAGCAGTGGACTCGATGGATATTGATCCTAACGCTCAAGCTAATGGAGGCATCCTTGAAGGGGATGACAAGGACGGGTATTACAAACATCGCGTCGGCGAAGTCCTCGGCGGGCGTTATCAGGTTCAACATGCCCTCGGTAAGGGCATGTTTTCGGGTGTTGTCCGCGCGATGGATGTCGAGACCAAGAAACTGGTTGCCATCAAAATCATGCGAAACAACGATGCTTTAAAGAAAGGCGGCTTCACAGAAATTGCCATTCTCGAGAAGCTCAACGAATCTGACCCTGACGATCGCAGACATGTGGTGAAGTTTGAGCGATCATTCGAATTCCGTGGCCATCTGTGCATGGTGTTTGAACATCTAGGCTACAACCTGCGGGAAATCTTGAAAAAGTACGGCTTGAATGTCGGCATCACGCTGAAGGCTACGAAAGCATATGCCTACCAGATATTCGTGGCTCTTGCCCACATGCGCAAATGCAACATTATCCATGCCGATCTTAAACCCGACAACATTTTGGTACATCTCCATTCCTCACCCCAACAGTCGCTCAGAACGAATACACTAACAACTCATTCTTGAAGGTCAACGAAAACCACACGGTCCTCAAGATCTGTGATCTTGGTACAGCCATCGACCGGTCTGATGCTGCAACTGCTCAGACAACGATTACCCCTTACCTAGTCAGCCGCTTCTACCGGGCCCCAGAAGTCATCCTTGGAATTCCCTACGACTACGGTGTAGACGTGTGGTCTATTGGTTGCACATTGTTTGAACTGTACACTGGGAAGATCCTCTTCACAGGGGATAGCAATAATCAAATGCTCAAGGCCATTATGGAAGTTCGGGGTCGGATTACGCCAAAGCTCTACAAACGTGGACAGCTCTCTCCTCAACATTTCGATGAGAAAGGACAATTCGTCTCAATAGAGCGAGATAAGATTCTTGGTAAAGTACGTCTCCACAGAAAGCAATGTCCATCTCTTGCCCCTTTCCTCCCCCAACGATTTCATTTGTCTTGACTTGGTTATTATGCCGTGTGGTCTGGAGTTCGGGATGCAACGCAAGCCTCTCGACCCAGCAAACCGTTTCGTTTTAAGGTCCGAAAGCCACGTGCTAGTTTGGTAGCCTAGTGGCATCATAGCGTACGTTAGGCAAGAGTCTGGGCCTCCTGTGGCCTCAGCCTCGGGCGTAGCTCCCTACCTTTGGAATTCCCTCCTCTTGATGGATGATGTCAAGAACGGCTGCCAATGGTCTGTTGAAGATAGTTGCTCACCCCACATGCAATTGTTTTTCTGCCTCAGCTCAGCAAGGCAGCCAAGAGGTGTTCTCGAATCACCTCCCTGAGATGCTCTTGAACCCCAGTGGGGCAGCAGGAGCAGCGTTAACCATAAACCCAAAAGCACAACACGGCGTCAAATCAAGTGCACTACATTATACGAAGAGTTCCAGCTAACAGTTGTTGTGATTACAGACTACTGCCCGAACCTTGCAGATAATCAAGCCGACGCGTGATATACGCACACGCCTCGCTGCCGTATCAAGCGGCTTGAGCGAAGCAGAGACTCGTGACCTGAACAATTTCATAGATCTTCTAGACCACTGCCTCGCGCTCAACCCCGAGAAGCGAATCAAGCCACTGGATGCGCTGAAACACCCTTTCTTTTCAGCCGCTAAGAGCTCGCACTCCCACTCTCACTCGGCTCGTCGTTGATTCTTTAGGGATGGAGACTGGGGCTGAGTGTTAGCCAAAAGATGACCACCTGGCTTACGAAACACTAAAAAACGAAAGTGTAAAGGAGGGAGGGCAACGTGCTGTGCACGATACATTGTTTGCTAGACATATGGCTCGGATAGTTTTACAGCTAGCTAATACGAAAAGCAATAAGGATACTTGTTCATCTGGACAGGTGCTCAATGCTCACATCGGCCGACTGGCCATTTACAACCAGCCATAACCATCACTACTCGCAATTTAATGGCAGACTATATAAATAGATGTAAACAAGTATCAGGTGGAGGAAAAAGCAAGTCACGGCCTCGATAATCTGACCCCGCATCCAGTCTCGATCCTAGCTATGCTGATTACCCAGGGATCCTAGCTATGCTGATAGCCCAAAGTAGAGTATCCCGACTGCTATGCTATACGCGGGTCTTACGGGTAGTGAGGTGAGGCGTGCTGACTGCGATGGCAGCGACTATTCACAGCCAGAGGATTAGTTGAGAATTAAGGCACAATACCCAATGGATTCCCGGGGTTTTGGTGTAGATGATGCATGAAGGATGAGCTTTGGGGGTTAGCGAGGAGGTTGGATGTGGAGGCCCGGGTAGCTATTCTCGGACTCAGCAGCTTTACTTGCTCGCAAGAGTCGCAATCAGCGCTCGATTTCCCCAACCGAGCCATACGTAAAGTCCACAGAAACGGCGGTCGCTGCTGGCCAGAGACATGCTACAGACGAGGCTAGCCGTCAAACTTACTTTCGGCCCCCTCGAAACAGTGAGCGCTTGTGGGAGATGAGATAAGCGCTGGCACTGGGTCGCCCGACAAGCAGCCCACATGGCTGGCAAAATAACAACAGACAGGCATCGCCATGGACACGGGGCAGCAACGGTCAAGGCGAGCGGCTATTTACGTACGCACGACAGGGCTACGCCTCCCAACGGTCGGCCCTGCATGCGCACGCAAAAGCATCGTGGCCTCGAGGAGGTATGTCGTGCATACAAACATGGCGAGTTTGAGATGGCCGGTGCGCAGCACTAATGGGGCCAGAGCGGCTATGCCAGTGAAGCGCGGGCCAATTGACGCGGTGGGATTGGTCCCTCAACCCCAGCACTTGCATCTCGGTAGACGCTTTTTGCTTTTTCCTGCTCCTTCGGAGGATTTATCTCAGCATTACTAGCAGCATCGCCATCTAGGCGCTGCAGTAGAGCACCGGTGGGCCGTTACATTGGAAGCCGCGAGGGCACGGGACGGGGGCAGGGGGTGGGCGTTTCTATTGTTTGTTGTTTATTGTGCTGTGTTGTTTGTTTGATATCCAGCGCCTCGTGGAGGGAGGATGGCCGCCCGTGTCGCAAGGGGATGTCAACCGTGCGTCGAGAACAGCCAAAGAAGGAGAGATGAGAGACAAGAAGGAGCGCGGCACGGGATGGAGGACACAGGAGGTACGTAGGTGGCATGGACGTATGTGTATGGTGTTTCAGAGCATCAATGGAAATCAACCAACGCCATCACCCACCACATGGCAATCCATCCATTTCAGATGCGCAGCACGGAGACAACTTGGCCGACAGGCATTACGTACAGATTCGCAACGGCCATGACTCTAAAAGTTAACCTGGCCGCAACGATGACGAACGGGCTCCGCCTTCTCCTCATTCAAGGGTCCGTGCAAAACGGCCATGGCGAGACGCTCGTCCACTTGACACGCAAGGGTTCGCTCAGACACTGCCTCGGGCTGTATGTCTCGGCCTGGTTCATACTGTATGTACGGCACACGTTTGTTGGCCCGTCTTTTTTTAACCACCCGACGTAGCTTGACTCACTCTGCCACTCGGCTGGCTCGGAGTGGCTGGCGAGGGCGAACCAAGCGCATGCGTAACCCACGCAGGCAACGGTCTGGTTCAGCCAGTCAAGCGTCTGGTGGCAAATACCTGAACCGCTAGGCAAGGGGGCAGAGAGGATCTGCCGACCCTTCGTTCAGCACAGCAGATCGGATCGGGAGTTTATCAGGCAGTGGCCATGGTTGGATGAAATCATGGCAGGATTTGGATGGAGCCTAGAGGAAGCACTGGCCGAATGTTCCAGGTCGAGACCGAACAATGAGGCGTGGGGCGCGGGGAGCAGGGAGGCAAATGGAGGAGGATTTGCTGCTCCCGTGGACGCGGCCGCATTCCCATTGACTCGCCGTTGGGGATGACCAGTCACGAGAGTAGCTTGTTTTTTTTCGCCTGCCAGCCGGTTGCTGGAGTATGACTGGTAATTCTTGCATGTGTGACTATCATCGCAGGGCGACCTCGCTTGCCCCATGTGGCATGATATGATGCTCGCCGTGGCAACGTCAGGCCAGGCCGGGACAGGCTACGCTTCTTCCCACTCGTCGGCCTGAGCACAGTAGGCATACGGGCTCTGCGTCCGCCGCTCCCTCATCTCCGTGTGTGGGGGGATGCGCATAAATCACACTCAGATGGCGTCCCAAGGGGCGTTCTGCCAGGCGAACCGCTATCACACATGCACTTATTAGTTAGCTGACTGAGAGCATGAATGTGACTGCACGCACATGGCCAAGGCGGCCCTGATATTACTTGAGTGTGAACCGAATACGATTGTCTGGCTGCCATCATCCAAGACAATATGCATCTGGTCCTCTACACGGAGACTATTGCCCAAGATGGTGAGCCCGCCCTATGGTCACAACCGGTCGATAGACATACATGCGGTCAGACAACCGGATCGCGTTATAAGACACAATGCATGACAGATGTACAATGCCAAATGGACGTAGGATCAAGAACCATGCGTAGACCCAGCGTGCCGTAGCATCAGGAGAATTTATCCTATTGCTCCTTACCAGCGACTCAGCGAGAGTCGATGGGCATCCAGATTCTGGATATGCATATATGAATACTACCTTGAATTAGTCGTCCACACCTTTTACAGGCAGTCTGACCAGAACCATCCAGTTAGTCATTATATATTGGAATGTCGCACTGGAACAAAAGGTCGCAGTCATCCATGTTACAGGTGAGGGCGCTTCTGGCTTGCCAATTATATCACCGCAAAAAATCTACCCGAGAAGGCACTTCGGCATAGACATCCATGACTGCGATTGCTTCCTTTGGTGATGCGCGCGCACGCGCCGCAAAATGATCGATGAAGCGAGATCCTCATTTCCCACGGGGTCACATTGCCCGTTGTAATCCTACTGATAGTGTGTGGGATAAACACACCGCACACCACTATGTCAGTGCATAACCACTGCATGGCTGGAATGGGCTTGTCCGAAACACCAGGTGTGCCATGTGTCTAGTTCATCTATCGATAAATTCCCTGTTAAAGTCGAGACATGACGGTGAGTGTGCGAAGAACGTAAGGGAGGGCCGGGGAGGCTGGAAGAAGCGCCCTGGGCTGCGTGTGAGTGGCCAGAGGCACGAGGAAGGTGATCATCACTGGCAGAGGATGGAGGAGGTCCTTCGGCGGGCACCGCGCATCCCATTGGCCGTGGTTGACGTTGATGATGCGCGCTGCACGGACAGCGGGATCCAGAGCACGAGCATCGAATCACCAGTCAAAGCCGCCCTCCTTCCAGGGCCAGTTCGAGAAGGCGGGAGGAGTAGGCTCATCGCTAGGAGATGTTATGCCCTACCTTGGAGGTATGGGTGCACCCGCCACCGTGTATGATTTCTCGATTTCGATGAGGCGAGATGGGATGTGTGAGACCAGCCCTGCCTCTGCCCGTCCGGTTGGTCTAGGGCGAGATGGTATCGCGACCAGTCCCATGTCATTTAATCTCTGTTCACGAACAAGCCGAGCTAGGCTGGCGATCAATCTTGGGAGGAGATTGAGGATAGCCAGGGCCAAGGATGGCCGTTGCTCGATGGGTGGGAACGGTAGTGCCCAGCGCTTCTCCATAAACACCCAAGTGAGAGCGCCGCTGCCGCAATAGTTTCAGGAGCATGCTGGGCTGGAACTCAAACTATCTCGTGCTAGCCCAGATGATTACCTGTTGCTCTCCTCTGTGCTCAAAGTGCCGTGGGAGACGCGTGTGGGTGGAGCCTGGGCCGGTTCACCAATAAAACACCCATGGAAAGTCAACGAAAACATGCGACCGACTATCGAACACTAGCTGAAGGTCCCCCATCCGTGCCTCATCGATCAGAGCGTCCCATCGCAGGGATCGGCTGACATGACGTCGTCCACTGGTTTGATTGCTCTGGGCCAGAGTGGGCCTCTCCAATTTGCAGCGTCTCGGCGGGAGATCAGTGGCAGTCTCATACGTGGTTGACCGTTGACACCACTGAATGAATGCTTACATGCCAACAATGACCCAGCACCACAGAGACAGATCAGCAATACAATACAACACCAAAAAAAGTACACTCGGCGCGTACGCACATTAGAAGAGTTATTCGTGTGCCATTCAGTCATCCGTGACTCACTCTTACCACCAATACACAGCCATATCATGCATGTTTCACAGTTAGTGCTGTGTAGAAGGGCCTCTAGGGTAGTGGGCTGGCAGCGCCGAACACGACGTAGCATTGGGACGGAAGACGGTGGACTGTTGACAACGTCTAGCCCCGGCTGGACCCATGTGCTGCAACACTTCCAGCTGCATCATGAACCAATCCCGTGCTGGCACAGATGTGCTCGCTACCTCACTGCGCTACTCCAGGCGGCACGTAGGGCAAGCACAAAGGTGCGCCGGGGCGGATGGATGATCTGGCTCGAATGCTAGCGGTAATGGCCGGGCAATTTGCTGAACCAGGCTAGTTCGGTTGCAGTAAGCCTCTGGGCGAAGCGCACTCGGTACGGAGCGCCAGGGTGCCCGCCAGGACACGCCGTTGGCTGTCCGCCCTGCGCTGGAGTTGAAGGTTGCAGGCTGCAGGTCGCAGGGGGCCGGCCAGCAGCGATGCGACCCAAAGTGCAGGCAGTCAGGAGGTTTGGTGGCCTGAGGCAGCCAGAGGCCCCGCACGCGCCCGTGTCCACATTCACAT